TTTTGGAGAGGTTTTTGCTGTAGGGCACGTGTGCTCACCAGAAAGACTGAGAGAGACAGAGAGATAGAAAGCAAGAAATCACCCCCCAGGGGGGATGACCACTCTGCAATCCCTCCTACTCCATTCTCCTCTTGGGATCTTGGGCACAAACGCACATGCGCCCAGCATGAGTTTAAGCCACCGGGTCCAGGACTCGAACCGTGGTTGGCTACATGGGAGTTCAGCGGCATAGCCATTATGCTAACTGCTGGTCCCACCTGCACTGGCTTTTAAAGACAAATTTTAGAATGATTTTGCCAATTGTCTGCAAAAGCCTCTTGAGGTTTGGATTAGATTTGCTATAATTTGGGGTAGAAACGACCTTTTGCAGTCTCCCCATCCAGCAATATGGCTGACCTCCCGTTTGCTTTCAGGATCATGGCTTCGGGTAAAGGTTTGCGCAGTCCTTCACGCTGGGTGTGAACTCGGTCGTGGGAATTCTGTATTTGCAGCTGTGGTGGCGAAGGGATATTTTTGTGACCAGCCTTCTTCCTGGGGACTCCTTTGCAGGCGAGCCCCTCTTCGTGCAGTGGAAGTAGCTGCACAGAACAGGCACCCTAAGGGACCGCGAACTTGCGGTGGGGGCTGACAGCGGGAGGCCACTACAGTCCAGGGCGCCCCGCATTGCCACGCTCTGGGCGATGCGCCGCGATTAACCGCGTTCCAGTGGCGCCCCTTGTGGCCGTTTCCAGGGCCGCGCTTCTGCTACAATATTTTCAACTCCGCTTCTCCAGCACCTCCTCCGTTTTCCTTTTCTGCTAGACGTTTGAGTCACCTCCTGGGAAGGAGGGCAAACGATGTTCAGTATTTTAGGCTCAGACGAATACAATTTGGAACGCGATGATGAAAAAGTCACTTTAGAGCCGGCTCCACTCTCAGGAGCGCGTCAGTTTCTGTTCATTCAACACCGATTGATGGAGCATGCCTCGTGGCCAGATGAGGGTGTCATGGCCAGGCAGAGACAGACGGCCCTCCGACTCTCTCAGCCATGTTCCAGTGAAAGGAGACAAGGATAAACCAACCAATGCGATCATTTCCAAGAGCGTTAAGTGCTTTGAAGAAAACAACACAGTGATTTTGTAGTAATGGGGAGAGGGATGGGGCTGACCGCATTAGCTGGTCAGGGCAGGCTTCTCAGCGGAGGTACCAGCCATGTCCTCTCTCCAGTGTTCTTAAGCACAGGGCGGGTGCTGAACCCCAAGGTACGAGGGAAGTTCAGATCCTTGAGGGAGGGGGGCGATTTGTACATCAGCAAGTTGTGCGTCTCTAGGAAGGTGGCTTGTGGTAGTGTCGGCTGCCAAAGCTCCCAAGTTGCGAGGTGTTGGGACCGGGATTTGAACCCTCAGCAGCCCATCTGCAGCGTCTGCACTCTTCACCATTGGCGTCTTACATCATCTCTCTGTGGCGCTCTGGCCTCAACTTCCTCTCCTACTAGACCACCGTCCTTGCCGTCATGACCGGGTGACTCAGGGGTCTCTTACAGCTCCTGGATGGAAACAGTTGCTGGCGCACTTGGCTGTCCTCGAGGGGAAGGTGGAATGTCTCGGCCCTCACTTGGTGATGTTCATCTCAGCGCAGGGACGCTCGTGACGTTCTTATCTTTCTTCCTGTCTGCCTGTGGAACCCCATGAAAATGACCTCTTCCTTCTCATCTTCATAAACCCAGCGGTTGTGATGTCTGCCTCCTAAAACCGTCCAGCAGCCGCTAACGGTAGGTCGTATTTTTAGTGCTTACTAAGTCCAGGCACCGTTCCAAACGTTTGACTTTTATTATTGTTTCTCTCAATGTGCACAAACCCCTTAGGTCGTCGGAATGTCATGGCGACTTTTTGCATAGAAAAACATAGGCGACTATGTCAGGACCTTCCCAACCCCCGACTGCAGTGCTACTTCCTGCCTGCTTTTACAGACAGGGTGACAGAAGTACAAAAAGATCGAGGCACTTGTGCAAGGTCACCTGTTTAAGGATTATAATCTTCACATCAAATTCACTTGCACCATGGTGCAGTTGCTCCTTAGCAAAAACCACGAAGAAGTCCCGGAGAACTACAAAGCATTCGCTGTGGTTCCAGGTCTTCCAGGGCAGGCTGACGGGCGGGTGGTGCTCTGCTTTCCGGGGTCTGTCTGGCGCAGTCAGAGTAGAGGCGTTGCTTGTTGGTGCTGGAGGGTGTGCCTTGGGGCATGGTCCTTGAACACGTTCATGCTTGCTTTCAGACAGCTTAAGGGCACAGGGTCCTCAGGGCCCCTCTGCAGAGCCCAGCGTCCAGTGGAAGCTGCATAGAACCCAGGTGGGTGATGGCGCCCTCTGCAGGTGGGTGGGATGAAAGTGCGTGAGCTGGGCAGTGCTGGCCATCAGGACCAGCTCTGGCGTGCCCCAGGGAAGCTGCTGTTAGCTTGGGGTGCCCTGACGGAGGGGTGCAGCCCTTGGTACTCCTCGAGTGGGGGCACCTGGTCCACGCCTGGCCTGGGCTCTGGAGGCCCCCATTGTCCAGCCTAGTGCTCTCCTTTCTGGGGGTTCTGGGTGTCTAGATGACGCCATGGTGCCAGAGCTGCCGTATCTGACATATCCACACACGCATACTGTCTCCTGCACACGCCACACACACTCTCACTACACACATGCTCACATGCACTGTCTCCTGCACACTCCACACACTCTCTCACTACATGCACACACGCACTGTCTACTGCACACGCCACACACACTCTCACTACACACATGCTCACATGCACTGTCTCCTGCACACGCCACACACACTCTCACTACACACATGCTCACATGCACTGTCTCCTGCACACTCCACACACTCTCTCACTACATGCACACACACACTGTCTACTGCACACGCCACACACTCTCACTACACACATGCTCACATGCACTGTCTCCTGCACACTCCACACACTCTCTCTCACTATATGCACACACACATGCACTGTCTACTGCACACGCCACACTCACTACACATGTGCACGCACACACACTATCTCACTACACACACTCTCTACACACACTCACACACACACAGTCTCCTGCACACTCCACACACTCTCACTATACACATGCTCACATGCACTGTCTCCTGCACACTCCACACACTCTCTCACTACATGCACACACACACTGTCTACTGCACACGCCACACACTCTCACTACACACATGCTCACATGCACTGTCTCCTGCACACTCCACACACTCTCTCTCACTATATGCACACACACATGCACTGTCTACTGCACACGCCACACTCACTACACATGTGCACGCACACACACTATCTCACTACACACACTCTCTACACACACTCACACACACACAGTCTCCTGCACACTCCACACACTCTCACTATACACATGCTCACATGCACTGTCTCCTGCACACTCCACACACTCTCTCACTACATGCTCACATGCACTGTCTACTGCACACGCCACACTCTCTCACTACATGTGTGCACACAGTCTCACTACACACACTCTCACTACACACATGCTCAAACACACTGTCTCCTGCACACTCCACACACATTCTCTCACTACATGCACTCACACACGCACTGTCTACTGCACATGCTACACTCTCACTACACGTGCGTGCACACACACTGTCTCACTACACACACTCTGACTACACACACTCACACACACACACACAGTCTCCTGCACACTCCACACACTCTCACTACACACATGCTCACATGCACTGTCTCCTGCACACTCCACACACTCTCTCACTACATGCTCACATGCACTGTCTACTGCACACGCCACACTCTCTCACTACATGTGTGCACACAGTCTCACTACACACACTCTCACTACACACATGCTCAAACACACTGTCTCCTGCACACTCCACACACATTCTCTCACTACATGCACTCACACACGCCCTGTCTACTGCACATGCTACACTCTCACTACACGTGCGTGCACACACACTGTGTCACTACACACACTCTGACTACACACACATGCACACACTGTCTCCTGCACGCTCCACACACTCTCACTACACGCATGCACATCCACACACACTCTTACTCTACACACACAGACACACACTGTCTCCTGCACACTCCACACACTTTCACTACATACACACACAGTCTCCTGCACACTCCATACACACACTTTCACTACATACACACACTCTCCTGAACACTCCACACACACTCCCTCTCAATACACACACACACTCACTACACACACTCTCTCCTGCACACTCCACATACACTCTCTCTCACTACACACACTCACTACACACACACACTCTCTTTCCTGCACACTCCACACACACACTTTCACTACACACACTCACATGCACACACACAGACATACTGCCTAGTTAAAATTTTTTCATTATTTATTTATTTAATTTATTATTACAATGATTTTTAAAGTTTGCTATAGAGCATGTGTGCTCACCAGAGAAAGACAGAAGGGGAGATAGAAAGTGAGAAAGCAAACCACCAGGTGCAGAACTCGAACCATGGTCAACCAGGTGAGAGTCCAGCACCTTAACCGCCACACCACCTGATCCCGCAGTTAAATTTGGATTTGGATAAATGCTAAGATGTTTATGTGCAGCGTCACTGGGCTTCCAAGATGTAATCCGGCACCTCCTCCTGGTGCTCGCCTGGCCTGTACCAAACGCCCAGTGGGGACACCGGTGCGAGGATACCCTTCAAAACCTTTAAACTCTCCCTCAGCGCTTCTGTCTGAGATATATTTGTTTTGTGGAATTGTCAAGGTTCCTTTTTTTCAGTCCCGTTACCATGTGTTCGTTCTCCCACGGGACACAGCTGGCTTGGCTGACGGTCCCTGCATCTTGGGAATCTTCCTGACGGCAGTTTGGCTTGTGCTCTCTGGGGGTCCAGCGTGGTTGGATTCTCCATCTGCTTTGGAAATATCGTCCCCTGCTGTTAAAGGGTAAGTGTGCTCTAGCTTGCTATCTGGTGAACATTAATTTCTTTTTAAAGAATTATTTATTTACTTTTATTCATTCATTAATTCATTCATTCATTTTATTTTAATTTGACCAGAGAGATATACAGAGAGAGAGAGAAAGAGGGAAAGTGGGAAAGCAAACCACCAGGTCCAGGACTCGAACCATGGTCAGCCATGTGGGAGTGTCCAGCGCTTTAACCACCATGCCACCTGCTGGTCCCAACATTCATTTCTTCTTCTTTTTTTTTTTTTTCTAGAAGTTTTTGCTACAGGGCGCATGTGCTCACCAGGAAGACAGAGGGAGACAGAGAGACAGAAAGCAAGAAATCACCCCCCAGGGGGGATGGCCACACCGCAATCCCTTCTCCTCCATTCTCCTCTTGGGATCTTGGGCATGCACGCAAATGTGCCAGGCGTGAGTTTAAGCCGCCGGGTCTGGGACTCAAACCTCAGTCGACTACATGAGAGTCCAGTGACATAGCCATTATGCTAACTGCTGATCCCCCCAACATTCATTACTTGATGTAATTCAGGAAGGACTTGCAGTTCCCGTGAGTGTTGTTGCCCCTCCCCGGGTTCGTCTGACTTCAGCGATGCAGTCTATGCAGACTTCCAGCATGGAACATCTATTATTTCACCTCCTTCAGCTAATTTAATGACATGCGTGCTTGTGTGTGTGTGTGTGTGTGTGTGTGTGTGTGTGTATTTTGTTTTTTGCCAGAGGGTGTGTGAGCTCACCAGAGAGAGAGAAAAAGGGAGAGAGGAGAGGGAGAAAACACATCTGCCCCCAGATGGGGCATGGCCACTCTACAGTCTCTTCTCCTATAGGAGATTTGGGGAATGCTTCTTAAACTACCAGGGCTGAGATTTGAACTGTGGTTGACCACATGGGATTCAACTCTCTTAACCACTTGGACATGGAGCTGCCCAGTGTACATTTGAGTTTTTAAAGTCTTTAAAATAACTCCTTGAGTTGCATCACTTTCTTCAAAACTCCTCCTGATTCATCTTCTAGGAGGTGTTTGTTTTGGATACGGTTGATGTATCTGAGTCGGAACTCCCACCATCCGTGTCGTCTTCTCCCTGGAATGCACCCAGTCACTCCCCTGCAAGCGAGTTGTCATGTAGGGGCTTGATCTGGCTTTCTTTAGAATTTTCTAGTGTTTCATTCTGTTTAATATGTTCACTCACTGTTCTCTTCCCCCCTTTGGCTTTTTGTGAGAACATCTTTACATATTCCTGAGGGTCATCATTTTCATTGATAGTATCTTTTAGTATTGTCTCCAGTTCTTCCTCCTTTTGATGTATTTTGAAGGCCATTTCAGTTCAGATACTTGATATTGTATGTATTTTGATGGACTTTCTGAAGACTCAGCACTTTTTATAATTCCAGCCATCAGCTCAACTTACTCTGAATGTTCAGATTTCTTTTTATATCTTTTTCTAAAAGCCTCTATTTTAAGCCCAAGAAAAGAGTTAGCAATTTCTAGCTTGCCATTAATGGCCTCCAGTTTTTATATTTCCAATAATTTGTTCTTCAATCTGGTTTCCATTAAATTCAAGGCCTTTATAGTCATTTTCCATGAGGCCAAGTTTCCAAAACTTTGGTGTCTTTCTCCAAGGAGGATAGACATTTCAGTGACCAGTTGTCTCCACTTGCATCAGATAGATTCTTAACGAAAGTCTTGACCATGATCACCAATGCCGCCATCTTGCCCAGTGGTCCCTGGGGAGCAGGGCCTGGACCAAGGTCTCGTGCATTGTTGCCACTGCCTAGCACCATGTCTTTAGGACCAACATGGCCACCAGCATACTCTACATGGCCCTGAGGTACCGAGGTGTCCTTTGACTTGCCAGGACCTTGTTGGCCCCAGAAGACTGAGGAGACCTCAAAGAGTGTTCCACCTGGAACCAGACCAGTGCCAGAGATTCGTCAGTCAGCTGGAGGTGACTGACTTGGGCTGGGCTGGGCTGGCCAGTTCTGTTATAACCTCAGCTGGACTCACTGAGAATCTGTGTTTCAGGGCCAGCTGAAAGTTGGCTGATCTATACTGTCCTTGGCTTGACCCGCTTGTGTGTCTCAAGGTCTGCTGAGGGCTGGTCTTTCTGAGCTGCTCTGGGAGGCTTGGCTGCTCTTGGTGGGGCTTGCTCAAGTGTCTCAGTGTTGGCTGGCGTCTGCTGATGTAGGCAGGGCTTAGAGGGGAGCTCAGTTCTGCCTCATGTGTCTCTCATCCTCTGAGATGTTAATTGATTTTGTTTTGTTTGAGAGAAAAAGAGAATGAGTGGGAGAAGGGAAGAGAGAGAGAGAGAGAGAAAGAGAGGGAGGGAGAGAGGGAGGTGTTCTTCTCGGCTCGTTGGTTTTTCGAACATGCAGAATCATCTCATTGAGCGGCTCTGGGAGGCTTGGCTGCTCTTGGTGGGGCTTGCTCAAGTGTCTCAGTGTTGGCTGGCGTCTGCTGATGTAGGCAGGGCTTAGAGGGGAGCTCAGTTCTGCCTCATGTGTCTCTCATCCTCTGAGATGTTAATTGATTTTGTGTTGTTTGAGAGAAAAAGAGAATGAGTGGGAGAAGGGAAGAGAGAGAGAGAGAGAGAAAGAGAGGGAGGGAGAGAGGGAGGTGTTCTTCTCGGCTCGTTGGTTTTTCGAACATGCAGAATCATCTCATTGCACTTATACACTCATGGTGGTGACTGTAACCCCTTTCCTCCTCCTGGTGCAGAGGCAGTCCTTCGGTGCCCCTAGAACAAGATGGGTGTTGACCAGGCTGGGGCTCACAGCCCAATTCCCAGTCTCCCAGACCTTCGCCTTTTGATCATACCATTTGAACTGGGAGCCAGTTGGTTTCCATGTCCACCGTTTGGGGTTCACATTTGGATTCAGTTCTGACAGAGCCCCAGGATCCGAGTAGCACAAGGATGTCTGGAATCACACATTTTCCTTCATATCGTCCTCTCCTCTCTTGCAAAACTCAGAGGAGAATATTTCTGGGCTCTGTGGGCTGTCCTCGTGTATAGGGATCTTCCAGACTCTAGTCTGTCCCAGAACCACTGTTTTCCAAGATATGTCTGATCTCCCTTTATTCTGGCATAGCTCTCCATCCTTGAGGGCAGCTCTCACCAGATGCAGTACGGCCTCCAGCTGTGGGAGGGCCTCGGTTTTCTGCCTACCTACGCAGCTCAGAGCTCTCAGGAATAAGGAGCATCCAGGCACCTGGGGCTGGAGTTTTGCCAGTTTCATAGAAACATGCTGTTTGTATTTGGTTGTTTTTTTGTTCTTACCAGAAGAGTGTAGTCTTTTGGAACCTTGTAAATCTTAGCGGGAGGCGGAGGTCAAAGCTGCAGCTTTCCCTCAAGTGCGTTTAAGGACTGCTCTGCACCACCCACTTCCTGTCTTCGTTCTGACTCATGGGGTGGTTGTGAGGATTAAACGAGCCAGCGCGGATACCAGGCAGGCAGTAAGTGCTCAGCAATTGATACTCATAGCTCAGCGGTCCCCAAACTTTTTGGCACCAGGGACTGGTCTTGTGGAAGACGATTTTTCCAAGAACCAGGAATGGGGAGAGGATGGTTTGGGGATGATTTAAGTGCATTACATTTATTGTCTTTATTGCTATTATTACATTGTAATACGTGATGGAATAATCATACAGCTCACCATAATGCAGTATTTGCAGCTGTTCCCCAGTGCTAGCATCACCACCTCAGCCCCCTCAGCTTATCAGGCATTAGATCCCTCACATGTGCACTTCACAATAGGGTGCACACTCCTATGAGACTCTAATGTCTCTGCTGATCTGATAGGAGGCAGAGCTCAGGCAGTAATGCAAGCAATGGGAAGCAGCTATAAATACAGATGAAACTTCACTTGCTTGTCTGCTGTTCACCTGCTGTGCAACAGAGTTGAGGACTCCTGCTATAGGTGATTACAAAGCATGGTGGCCCAGGTGGGGCAGGCATGTGGATGTTTCTCGCACATGCCAAGAAATGGGGCGATGAATTAAGGTAAGAGAGTATCCTTTTTGTTTTTACGTTTCTTTCTTTCTTGAGAGAGCGAGGGACTCCCGAAAGGATCATCATGCCACAATCCCTCCTACCTCAGCCTTAGCTGGCAAAGATTGCTGGCACGTATGTGTGCCAGCTGGGCACAGGGAGACCTCAGGACTTAAACCAGGGATCTTCCCTTATGGCCACTGTAAAGCAGTATTCGGAAGGATGCTGCTAAGTGTGGGATTCCCTGTGAGTTTTTTTCAGACAAGTGAATATTGAGGACCTACTATGTGCAGGCGCTCTCCCAGGTCCTGGCAAAGGCTAGCTTATTTAGTTCTCATAGAAGGCCTAGGAGGGAGTTCTCGTCCCTCCATCCTACGGAGAAGGAGGAAGGAAGTGCATCTTCTGCCCATATACTTCACTTGAACTCACGTGTAAACTTGGCATTTTGTCTCCAATATTTTCTTTCTTGCTTTCTTTCTTTTTTATAAACTGTTGTTTATTTTCCTTACCTTTCCTTATTTCCACTTTTTCTAAGAGTCTGTGAAGAGCAGACTTAAGACCACTCAGTGGTTGTTCCCACCCGTTCAGTGGCCTGAGCAGTGGGGGCTGCAGACCAGTCTTGGGTGGAGGCTGAGCACTCCAGTCTTCAGTAGGGAACTGCTGGATGGGCACAGCGGGCACCTGCACGCCTTCAGACCAGTCTGCAACCTCGGGCTGAGTAGCGGTAAACTCAGGAGCTGGAGCAGCCCATTCACCCTGAAATTCCTCCTTGGTCACAGCCTTTTCAGCTGCAGCCTGTTCCTCCTTTTCCACCTCTTCAGGATCTCTGTAGAAGTAGAGATCAGGCATGACCTCCCACGGGTGTTCATGGGAGAGGGTGCCACGCATGCGCAGCACTTCCCTGGCCAGCATCCACCGCATCAGACCCGCCGAATGAGTTCCCTTGTTGCATGCGGTGGCAATGTCCACACAGCGCAGAGGAGAATCCGTGTTGCACAGGGCAATGGTAGGTGGATTAACATAAGATGCCTCTGTGAGGGGCTGGGGGTCGGCCCTGGGATCAGTCACCACCAGAAGACGCGGCTCCCGGAAGGCTGCCTGGATCTGGTTAGTGAAGGTTCCAGGAGTGAAGGACCAGCAATAGGAGTGGCTCCAGGGGCAGCAGCGAACTTCAGCACAGCCCTCTGGTGTTCCTGGAAGATCTGACACGGACGTCGGCAGGGTTTCGATGGCAGCAGTGGACGAGCTGCCAGAAGCTTCTCCCAGGTCCTCTTCAGAAGTATGAAGGAGAGGCCGTCACTTTTCCTCTTGTAGAAGTACTGCTCCATTCGGAAGTCAAGGGTGGTGCCACCTAGGGGGTTCCTGCGGCAAGGAACTTGAGGACATCCTCCTCCTTCATCGGCAGGACATCAAGGGCTCCGGACATCGTGAAATTTCCCTCTAAGTTACGACCGGTACCAAGAACAACGCTGTATGGACCCTTGGGCTGGTAGCGCGGAAAGCTGTCTCCAATATTTTCAAAATATGTAACATTGAAACTGACAGATCTGGGGCCAGCAGGGGGTATCGTGCTTAGGGCTCTGGGTTCCCATGTTGCTGACCACAGTTGGAATCCCAGACCCAGCAGCTTGAAAATTATGCCGGGCACAGGTGTGTGCATGCCCAAAATCCAGAGAGGAGAATGGAGGAGAGGGGTTACAGTGTGGCCATCCCCCTGGGGGGCAATTTCCCATGTTCCGTTTCTGTTTACTTATCTCTCTGGAGAGTGCCCATACCCTATGGCAAAAAACTAAGACAAACAAAACCCAGACAGATCCTTTCAGTGAGACAGGTTCTCAGACTTTGTCCTTCACACCTGCAGGTCTGGGCGAGCACCCCCCTTCCATGAGGATTGGCGGGTGTCAGCCATGCTGGGCTCTGTGATGGTCCCATTTATGCCAAGGACAAAGCACATGGAGTCCCAGGGGGTCAGCCCACTCCCACCTTCCCACAGGGATCTCAGGGACCCCTTCCTTGGGGCTGTGTGTGTTGCCCATGACCTGCAAACTGCTTTGCGTTCTCACTTTACAGGTGTTCCCAGTGGGGCCGTGCCAAGAAGGCACCAAGATGCCAGGACCAGTCACCTCCTGCCCAGCCATGCTTCGAGCCTGCCTGCTGTCCCCGTGGGGTCTCCATGCCCCAGGTGTTGGTCTGTGAGGGGACTGACTCAGCTAGGTGGGCTCCACGATGGATCCATCCATGCCACTCTGCAGGGCTGACCCGGTCTCAGACCCAGGAATTGGAGAGGAGCCACGGGGCTCTCAGGCACGGTGTCCACCCACGCTGGGACGCCACCCCAGCCAGCAGTTGGCTCTTATAGAGGCTCCTGCTATGTTCTCTGGGGCTCACCGCCATCTCTAGCCGTCAGTTCCTCTCTGTACTGCACCCCCACAGGTGGTGCTCCCAGGAAGGCACGTCCTGGCTATCCCTCTGCCTGCATAGGTGCAGGGGGCCGAGGTCCCTGCTGCATCTCAGCCTGGAAGCTTTCTGCAGCCAGATCCCAAGCCACCCCCAGCAGCCCCCAGCCGGCCTAGTCCCTATCTAGGGCCCTCAAAAACTCTGACAACAGGGCGTGGGTCCTTCCCGCTGGAGCCTGGCCGTCCTTGGGGTTCTGCAGCTGAGCCAGCACAGCTCCGTGGGCTGTTGCAAGCTGTGCTCTGAGGGCCAGGTCTGTGACCCCTAGAGCGAGCTCCTAGTCTGCTCTGTGAAGGCCGGGGCTCCCATGGTGTGACGTGGGTGGTGTTCACTCAGTCATAGATGTGGTGGAGGGTGTCACGTGCTGAATTGGAGGCCCTCCTTCCCCAGGACACCTTCTGCCATTTGCTGGAAAACTGTCAAATCACATAGACTCATCTGGAAATGGCAG